TGCAGCGCGGATTGTGACCTACTGTTCGTGTGATTTGTGACCCAGGCATTAGCTGTGACCTACTGTTCGCGTGATCTGTGACCTATGCATCATCTGTGACCTACTGCTCGTGTGATCTGTGACCCATGCTTTGTGTGACTAGTATACAAAAAACTGTGACTAATGTGACCTGTACTGTAACATACCCTTTAGAACTATTACTTTTGTGTAGTGACTTACCGAACTAGTCAACGACACCTCCCTGGATACAAGTTCGTACCACCATGTCTTGTTTCCCACCAAGTACTGACCGATGGAAAAAGGTGGATGGATGACATCATCTTTATCATTGAACTTCTTCCTGCAAACGAGAAGAACGGATCATTATTTGGAACATTATGAAAATAGGACAACAATTTTGTACTTGTTATGCGGTTTGTATCCTTTTTGAAACCAATTTTGAAAGTCAGCAACATCTGCATCTTGTACATTCTGATTGTAGTGTTCAAAGACCACTACATTTCCTGAAGATTTCATTTGTTTCATTTTGTCGGCAACATAAGGGGACTGAAGGGCCTTAGCTGGCTTTGGAGCCCTCTTCACCGGCAATCCAGAACTTGGTGCAGCCTCAGGTAAGTGCTGCGTAATAAAATGTGTTCTTTAATATGTGACATGCATTAATCAACAAAAATACATAAATTTTTTGATACCTCTTGCTGAAAACATTCCGTGTCCTTCAAAACATCGGCTATGACCGATTCAACTTGCCTGTCAACTTCCTTTGATGTTTTTGCAACAATCTGGCTTGGTTGTGTGAATCCAAGACCGAGATCAAAAGATGGAGGTTCAATAGAACATGGGAATCCAACTGCACACACAGAGTCAACCTTCGCCTTGCCTTTCGAATCAACACTTCGTTCGACTTTTGCAGCCTGAAAATCAGAACAAAAATGCATTTGATGAGAAGTGTATATCAAACTGTTTGTGGTAAACAGACAAGTAAGAGGCAGTCACATTTGGGGTACTGACTTCGTATGTTGGTCCAGATCCTACAACAATTTCTGGTCCTGCATTCTCTCTGAATTTTTCATAATTTCTTCCATTGAAGTCGATATCAATGTAGTCACAGAATCAGACATACACTGCATGTGTGCTTTGATGTCCAACATGTCAGTACGAATTTCACCTTGCATACGAACTAGCAGATTCAGTTTCCTTTGCTGATCAGACTTTAAAGAAGACACCTATGACTGCATTGACTTGAACTGTTTGCTTAGCAACCGATTCTCAGACTTTAGATCAGATATCTGCCCTTTGAAATAATTCTTCAATTCGTCGACCACCTGCATCACATGAATACCTATAATCAGTAAAATTATGATGATGAAATATGACATTGATCTGTGATCAGCAGTGACATGTGTATTGGTATGTGACCCAATCACCGAAACCTGTGACCTGAATATGTGACCTGAATTTTTATGTGACCAAATGGACTTGTGATATGATAGATGAAATTGGAAGAGCTTACATCTTTTGACGGCATATCCTCTGAATCAGTGGTGTCATCTGACTTAAACTTCCCAGTTGGAGAATCTTCATGGGTTGATGTCCCTTTCCAACTGGGTGGTGCGTCAACAAAGTCATCATCATCAATGGGGAGATCAGAGTGTCCCAATCGTCCATCAGTTATCAAAAGCATGGGAGTAGATTGTTTCATTCCTGGATTACTTGGTTTTGTACTAGTCCCAACACGATGATCTGATCAGTGTATGCTACCACCCTTTCTCTTCTCCCCATGTGACCGATTGGGTAGGATAGGTTTCTCATACTGCACCTGACTCATGTATGACATTGCCAATTCAGCTGGTGGGGGGTCCAGGTCACATATTTCCAACTGCCATTCATATCACAACAAAAAGTGTAATGTCAACAACAAAAAATTATGTATGAACAAACATATATAGTTTTGCACATCTCACATATTCAATTTGTTTGCATTAATTGTGATATAACAAGGGCAAATGGCGTCGTGAAAATGTCTGTGACCTAGTATGAAATGATCTGTGACTTCGAGAATGCAATTTGTGACTTGACGAAAATATATTTGTGACCTAAGAAATATGATCTGCAACATGAGAAAAATGTGCCAGTTTAATATTTTGAAACCAGAACTACTGCATCGGTGGTCACTTACGTCGGGATTGGAGAAGCATTCAGGTCCCTCAAACTTCGCAGCCGAAGGGTGATCATCAGCCGTCTAGTTCATTATCCTGGGTACACTCTGGAAATCCTTCTCGTAGTGTATCCATCGAGACTGGGTATTGTCTCGTAAATCCACACTTGAAAGGCTACAAGCAAGTCTCTGAGTCTGTAATGTGTTGATTTCTTACTCAACCCCTCCCTCAATGAATTTACTAGTTTGTCAAACAGCGACTTACCCCATGGAAACACATTCATCGCACTAAAATCTTCAACTAGTATAAATAAGAAGTGCTCCACAGCCTTCTTATAGTCTCTTGGATGTAGATAAGATGTTATGAAATACAATGCACCTAGCATGGCAACATCCTCATCCGGAATGTCAGTAAAACCAAAAAATGAGTCCTTGATATTTTCATGAGTAACATTTTTCAACGTTGAAAAATACAAAATTTTCAATCGTGATGGAGTCTTCTCCATCCTACTTGTGTCATCATCGCCGACGTATCTCAAACCAGTCACCAAACAAAATTCTGAAATTGAGAACCGCACGAATCTTCCAACTATGTTGAACCACAACTCACTCTCATTAGGTTGTTGCACTTGTCTCAGAAGAAAATAGTGTATCAGCTGCGATTGGATAACAATTTCCTCGCATTGCAGGAAGTGAGCGAAACACGTATTCTGAAGGATTCGACGTTGAGCTTCATTGAGATTGTTTTTGAAGTTCGACACCACACCTTTGACGGGGGTAATTGTAATTTTACTTGGAAACCAACTCTTCTCGGGTATAATGTATCTCCAGACCTGCAACAACGATCACAATAAAACTCATCATTTTGGTCATAGGTGAAAATCCAGGTAGTCACAAACATCAACATATAGGTCACCGATCCCCTCCAGCAAAAAAGAAATCAACAACACCCATACAGAACGACACAATAGTGTTCCATAATTCACAAATGAACAACCACTTTTGACAAAAACATTAAAAACCCTTACTACAATCAGGCATTTCGATTACAAATTCAACACAACATACATCACAAATTCAAAAATACTTCATCAATACACATTACCTATCGATTAAAATGAAGATAGGTATACTCGAAATAAGTGAACAATTGAAAAATATCAAAAACCACCTTCTTCGACGACTGTTTTCCGACCGAACTTCTGGATTTTTGTCTTTTAGAGGATGATTCCTTCTGCACTTCATCCAACTTCCTTTTAACTCTTCTTCCTGACTCGTGGATTCCAGTTTTCTCCCCACGTTTCCCACTGCTTGAACGAGTCATCGTTGAAGTTTTAGAATACTTCGGGTAAACTGTGAACACTGCTTTGGGAAGGAATGTAAAAATTATGTGACCGACAGTGAAAGAAGTTGATCGGGGAATCGCCGGAGAACGACAGTGATGAACGACCGATTGGATGAACACGGTTTAATCGAAAAATGGGATACGTGAGGGACGTGCTTATGGAAATGACGGTTTTATGGAAAGGACGTGTTTAAAGAAAATACAGTTTCTAAATTTTTGAATTACGTGATTTTAGGTAGAGATAGCTATTAAATAATTTTAAATTAATTAGAAAATCAAAAAAAAAATCTGATTACAGAAATGTGAAACTTCCACTCTTATTTAGGAAATATGAATTTATAAACTAT